GATCAGAAGTGGTGCTTTGAAGACCCAACTGAGCAGAGATTGCGTTCAAAATACACCTCCTTGAGTACAAATTTTGAACGTTGAGAACGGGAAAGTCCCGGGAAGCGCCATCTCCTGTACAAAAACCAAGTGGGCCCGTTTTGTACTGTCGTAACAGCCGTGCCCCTTGGGTACTAAGTACACTGTACCCCCTTGGGTACTAAGTACACTGTACCCCCTTGGGTACTAAGTACACTGTACCCCCTTGGGTACTAAGTACACTTTCCTGCTTTCCATGCAAAGGCATAGCTGGACCTCTTAGGGGGTGCACCGCCGCGTCTGTATAGGATGGCTGGTGCATGTCATTCATGGCCATTATGTGCACGCTGAACCCCGAGGTCGAAATTGTTAGGGGGTGCACGTGCCCCATGCAGGCTGCGCGCCTGTCATGTGAGATTGTCTTATCGAGTTCTGCGGGGTTTGTAGGACTGAATGTCTGCACAGCTTCTATACCCAGCTTTCTACAACTTACAGTCCATTCATAAAAAGATGGGCCCTGGCTCTGGCGAGCTCCCGTATTTGGCGATTTTTCGTGATTTCATCGTACACAGTGCAGTGCTGCGAACTTTGAAATTTGAAAAAGGGTCCAAAAAGGTACCTGAACTGGGGTTCGAACTGCACAATGCACTGTTGCAGGCGGGGTCAAACGGCCTGGATTTTGATGTTTTTTCCCGATTCAGTGCTTTTGGGGTAAAACCTGGCCGAAATCCTATTCTTCCTATGGCTTGCTTTTTGGACAAAAAAACTTCAGAAACATAATTGGAAGAGGATTCCATAGGGGATGGCAGAAAAAAATTCTAAAAAAACTCAAAGTTTGACCCATTTATGGCCAAAAGCTAGAAGTCCATCTTTTTCTGAATGGACTGTAGTATTGTTGCAAGCAGCTCTGTGTGTGTGTGGGGGAGGGGGGGGGGGGGGGATAATCAAGACATCGAAAAAGTTCATTCTCCGTCATAATTCTCTTCCATTGTAAAATGGAGAGCTAGATGGATGCTATTTCAACGCTCGAAGATTTCCAAGGCCAGTCTGTGGTTGTGGAATGCTCAAATGTGTCATCCACTTAGCAGAAGTCCATGCCTATCAGGAATCGTGTTCTCGAAGAATCCAACAAAGATACTTCAATATTAGCTAGCAGCAGACCAAGGGGTGAACCCCAAGTTACTCTGACCCTCTGTGCACACATACATGTATTGCCCGTAAAACTGAACTGCTGGTCTGATGTGGCTTTGAAAAGCAGTTTCTTGAAAAGATCCGGGGGTGTTTCCGGGGGGAAGGGGGGGGGGGTATTTCATCATCCTGGTATAGTAATTGTATGCAAATATCTATTGTTTTCTTGATAGGTACATTGGCAAAAAACAGTCTGACTTCATCGAATGAGCACAGGAATAGCAATTCAGAGTTCCCTGTCTGTTGCTGACCAAACTCCCTTACATCATCCACGAACTCGAAGGTATCCTTGGTTGTGTGGGTGGAATATTTGTTCAGGACTGGCTGTAGCAATTCGGCTAGCCACCTGGCCATTTCATGTTGGGGTGCATTTCTCATCAACATGATAGGTCTAAGGGGCACGTCTTTCTTGTGTACTTTTGGTACACCGTAAAGGACTGGTTTGCACAAGCCAACGGGTCGGATTCGGCCGTAGTCAATGTTGAGTATCTTGCCAGCCGTTTTATATCGTAACAGGTATGCCTATGAGGCACGTTCATAACGGAAAGTACGGTCATGCATGTCCGTTGGTGCCGGGAGTTGAAACTTCGAGGTATCAGGCCGGCAGAAGACCATTCACCTTGTCAATGTCTTCACTACGCTGCGTTAGCACCACTCCATTCCTAATTGCCTGGCCTGCTGACTCTAAAATGCTCATCACTCCTTATTCTTGTGATGGCTCCCGTATGTTAGTCGTGGAGTGGAGTGGACATTCGCTTTATCTACTGAACTGTTGGTAAATGATATGGCAAGGTTTGCTGATGCTGCCTGGCACGTGTCCTTCTTAGCTTCATTCACAGACACGAAACAATCCAATTGGTTACCCGTTAGTTCGAAATTCGGCTTGCACAAGCTCCTTGTCAACCTTGGAACTAGGGGGAGGGAAGGAATTCAGTTGAGCCCTTCTCGTGACGCACCTACTTCCAACGTAGTACGTACATCATCAAATTTACTGCTGATCTGGCAACGCAGTCTGGATGAGGTTTCGTTGATGAGCCGGGCAAACCTGAAGCCATCCAGCACACTGAGACTCTGATTGACGTCATGAAGGGCAGGGCGGTACTCCAATGGAAAGTACTCCAAGTTAGCGGTAGTCTTCTCCGATTCGTCCTTGATGAAAGCGCGTTCAATCATCCATGGTTTCTTCGCCTTGACCATCCGTACCCGCATCTTGATGGAGCGGAGCACAACTCCACACGTAAGGAAGTTCCGTAGAAAGCTGGTACTCTCACAGCCACGGATGATTCGGCCCTTGTACTTCAAACAATAATTCACATCCTGAAATTAGTCGATGGTTCAGTCGCCGTTTAAAGCATTTGAACAGAAATATAGGCAAACAAGCTCATTCCCATGTAATCAATAATGAAAAGGGCGAAATGCTTCTTGTATTATGAAATTAACAAACCCTGTTGTGTGTCAGTAACGCTATGTCTGTCTGTCTGAAAATATGAGTCTTCCGGCTTGGGAGATTGCTCAACATTCACGCGAATAGAGCCCTAAGGGCATGGAGCTACTAGTTGCAACAAAGATATGTGTGTGTGTGTGTGCGCGCGCGCGCGCGCGTGTGTGTGTGTGTGCCTGCGTGTGTGTGTGTGTGTGCATGCGTGCGTGTGCATGCGTACATGTGTGTGTGTGTGTGTGTGTGTGTGTGTGTGTGTGTGTGTGTGTGTGTGTGTGTGTGTGTGTGTGTGTACATCTGTATGTTGTTCATACAGCCGGCTCTGGAGATGTATGTCTACGAATGGAGCTTTGCCCACGTCACATGTTTGCTGACTCCGTATCAGTTTTCTCCGCCAGGATCAACAGCAAGTCTAATCAGAAATTCGACATGAAAATTGCATTGTAAGAACACAGACATGGCATTGATATTCTCTTGGGTGACCACCATAATGCGCCGTGTGCGATAAACGTGGTGCGCTCATCAGCACAAAAGGTGCACGTGTCAGCGATACAATGCCGGGACCAGTGCAGGAAGTGTGTGCAAAGCGGGTGACTACAACAGTTTCAAAAAGCGCAGCAATGTCTACCATTGCTCAACAGCAATGTCTACCATTGCTCAACAGCAGTGTCTACCATTGCTCAACAGCAGTGTCTACCATTGCTCAACAGCAGTGTCTACCATTGCTCAACAGCAGTGTCTACCATTGCTCAACAGCAGTGTCTACCATTGCTCAACAGCATGCACTACACGGGTATAGTGAAGCACCGTTGATCAGCCCCTCCCGAAGCTCTGTTGTTTCCTTGTGATGTGTGTGTGTGTGTGTGTGTGTGTGTGTGTGTGTGTGTGTGTGTGTGTGTGTGTGTGTGTGTCACTTCAAACAGCTGTGTGGTGGATACCAGGCTAAACATAGTGGCGGTCAATTCATCAGCCTTGCAAGCTGTTGAATGGTGTAATCCCAGCACAAGTTGCTATGTCTAACATAGCTGTTCGCTATCATCGCTTCCGCGATGGGCATGTCTGAGGTCTGAGGTGTGTGTGTGTGTGCGTGTGTGTGTGGGGGGGGGGGGGGTGCGTGTGTGTGTGGGGGGGGGGGGGGGGTGCGTGTGTTGGTGATGACGACATGTCTAATCTTATTGATAGCTTTGATCTTTGATGGTTAACTTTGATCGACGTTAGAATACGTGGTCTTACAGTATATTTGAATTGAAATTCTTTATTCTCGTATGTTTGTGCTGTTGTGCTGCTGAGGGGACCAAAGGCCGAGTCACAATACAACTTTTTTGTGACGCGACATGCGACTTGCAACACCTGCGACGAGCTCCGACCGCGACACGCCATTCACAATATTTTACGTTTTTGCGACGTCCCTATGCAATGCATGTACACTGCTGGCAACTGAAATCCAACCCCCAGGGCGACGCGGCGCGCCGGCAAGGGGGTTGGATCTCAGTTGCCAGCGCTGTACTAGGCACGTGCAGTGCATGTGCATCCAGAGTAGAAACCGTACGCCATTTGTGTATGTCACACGTGGCACGTCGCAAACGTTCAACTTCTGCCGCGACAGGTAGCTTGCAAGGTCGTATTGGGAATCGGCCTTTACTCTTGCTCTGCTCCTGTCTCTCACTATCTGAATATCATAGCCCCGTACCGGAGGGTCCCACGCCGTCCATGCAGAACGGCGTGCTGCATGTGACCTTGATTCACCGCGAGTGGTTTGGTATCTACGAGACGGCCATAGCCCAGGCCGTAGTGCCGCTACACACCATACAGCGACCAATACCTGGTGAGTGACAGTGGGAGTGCGCTGCCATGATCTGGGCTGCTGGTGATACTGGCAACTGTACACTCTTTGTATAGCTTAGCCGGGGTTTTTTATACGTGATCTAGACAGAACAACGAGGACAATCAAGGCTTGTTTTCTGCTACTTTTAAGAAGTTTTATGCTCACGCAATCATCCGGCAACGTGAAGATGGGGTGCCGACCATGCCGGTATATAAGCCAGGAGAGGGTGGGTCTTGTAGCGCTGTATGAAAAGCTGTGTGAGAACGTGGGAGAGGGGGGAGGGGGGGGGGGGCTGTATAGGTTTCAGGGCTAGCGGTGTTATTTTAGACAGGAGACTGTGTGCGGCATCCTGTGTATACGTGGTCTATATTTCTCCAGAGAGCGGAGTCCTCCGGCTCGATAGAGTGCTCAATGCGGAAGCAGAGCAGTAACACACGAGTCACAGAGTAAATAATTATAGAGTCTGGTCTATATTTCTCCATATACACTCTGTCCCTTTTTATATCTATGTCTATACGTCTTCATAATAGTTCGTATGCACCGTCCCTAGTAGTAGTTCTGCTGCCTTTGGCCCGACCTCTGAGTCAGTTTCTGTGCTAACCAGTGTATATTGACTTCCTTGTTGATGGTGGAGTTGTGTGCGGGTGCATTATATGAACTGAGGTTCAGAAAAAATGTTTAAAAATGACATTTTTACCCTGCCCAGGTGGTCCAGATCTTATCCAGCCCAGTGACCGACCTGCAATGGTGCACCTGATGTGCCCCACAGCACATCGATGCGTTGTACAGGTAAGATTACACAGTGCGGTGTGGTGGGATGCTGTGTGGTGTGATGTGGTGTGGTGTGATGATGTGCAGTGTGGTGTGATGCTGTGCGGTGTGGTGCGATGCTATCCTATGCAGTGTCATGTGGTGTGATGTGTGGTGTGATGCTGTGCAGTGCAGCAGCCTTGGTGGTTCCAAACTCCACTCCACCCCTGCATGGGTCGCAAGATATCGACCGTGCCAGTTCCACTGTCCACATGCCATCTTGCTACACAAATTCAATACAGTCCCATTGCAAAGGTGCGAAACTGCTCTGTTGTTTTATTTTTTAAAGCGTATACGCGCGCGTGTGTGTGTGTGTGTGTGTGTGTGTGTGTGTGTGTGTGTGTGTGTGTGTGTGTGTGTGTGTGCGCGCATATACGCGTGTGTGTGTGTGTGTGTGTGTGTGTGTGTGTGTGTGTGTGTGTGTGTGTGTGTGTGTGTGTGTGTGTGTGCGTGTGTGTGTGCGCGCGCGTGCGCGCGCGTGTGTGTGTGTGTGTGTGTGTGTGTGTGTGTGTGTGTGTGTGTGTGTGTGTGTGTGTGTACACGATCACTATCATGTAATGGCAGGTTCTTCAAAATCGTGCCAAGAGCGAGAAGCTGGCGCAGGACTTTATGACTTGGCATACAAAGAAGAGTCCACGCGGCAATGATAGCAAGACGACCAGCAGCAGCAGCCGGAGCAGGGACTCACACAGCCTTGATGTCACACAGGACGAATACGACTTGTTTCTGTAGTCTGTCTGTAGCGACGCACACATGCAGCCTTGATGTCACACAGAACGAATACGACTTGTTTCTGTAGTCTGTCTGTAGCGACTCACACATGCAGCCTTGATGTCGCACAGGACGAATACGACTTGTTTCTGTAGTCACTGCGCTGGTGGAGAATTCTATAGGCGTGCTGTACGAGTTGCTTTCGTTCTCCTCCTGAGTCCATCGCTCTGACCAGATGTCCGATGTGAATTTGATCAGCTGTGCTCTACTATCCAAGCTCATCCCATTACACAACGGCTGAAATAATCGCAATAAATTGGCTGGAATCATGACAAACTTTCTAGAATTATGATAGACCTGTTGGTATTATGATAAACCTGCTGGAATTATGATAAACCTGCTGGAATTGGATAAACCTGGATAAATCTAACATTACAGTTTGGATTTATCATCTAAGGACACTGAGTTGAATTCTGCCCGTCCTTGTCATTAGACGATGGGCTTTATCCAACAATTCATGTAACGTTATGCTGCTGCCGCTCGTCCAGAGACGGAGGAGTGAGCGCGTGCTAGTTAGTGTACGTTGCTCTCACCCGTTTTTTTGTGAATTGTCAAGAGTGATTTTTAAAAGTTCTAACGTATACCGACGTAGTACATGTATGATGACAGTGACAGCGCACCGCTAATTTACTGTAATGCGACTCTTTGCTTTTCGTCTGGTAACGAAAATTTAATGATTGATTCGATATCAGTCTGTTATCTTGCGGCCGGGTGTGAATGCTAGTGCAGTGCATGTACCTGATGGTCTGGTGAACAGCTAGTGATGACCCACTCCTCCTCCTTGTGGATACACCACACCCACGCCCACACCCACGCATACACACACACACACACACACACACACACACACACACACACACACATGACCTTACTACAACCTTCCGTGGTTGGCAGAGCCCCGGTCCGAAGGTTGTAGTAAGGTCACTGTTTCCGAACACAGTGTCCTCCACCTTGTTTCATGCTGTCAATCTAACAATATGCGTGAACTATAACAAGGTTTATCCAATACTGGTTTTGAACCAGTGTTAGGTTATAACCAGTGTTAGGCTATAACCAGTGTTAGGTTATAACCAGTGTTAGGCTATAACCAGTGTTAGGTTATAACCAGTGTTAGGTTATAACCAGTGTTAGGTTATAACCAGTGTTAGGCTATAACCAGTGTTAGGCTATAACCAGTGTTAGGCTATAACCAGTGTTAGGTTATAACCAGTGTTAGGCTATAACCAGTGTTAGGTTATAACCAGTGTTAGGTTATAACCAGTGTTAGGTTATAACCAGTGTTAGGCTATAACCAGTGTTAGGTTATAACCAGTGTTAGGTTATAACCAGTGTTAGGTTATAACCAGTGTTAGGTTATAACCAGTGTTAGGCTATAACCAGTGTTAGGTTATAACCAGTGTTAGGCTATAACCAGTGTTAGGTTATAACCAGTGTTAGGTTATAACCAGTGTTAGGTTATAACCAGTGTTAGGTTATAACCAGTGTTAGGTTATAACCAGTGTTAGGTTATAACCAGTGTTAGGTTATAACCAGTGTTAGGTTATAACCAGTGTTAGGTTATAACCAGTGTTAGGTTATAACCAGTGTTAGGCTATAACCAGTGTTAGGTTATAACCAGTGTTAGGTTATAACCAGTGTTAGGTTATAACCAGTGTTAGGTTATAACCAGTGTTAGGTTATAACCAGTGTTAGGCTATAACCAGTGTTAGGTTATAACCAGTGTTAGGCTATAACCAGTGTTAGGTTATAACCAGTGTTAGGTTATAACCAGTGTTAGGTTATAACCAGTGTTAGGTTATAACCAGTGTTAGGCTATAACCAGTGTTAGGTTATAACCAGTGTTAGGTTATAACCAGTGTTAGGTTATAACCAGTGTTAGGTTATAACCAGTGTTAGGTTATAATAGAGTCTACATGTAGGAGTACACACCTGGTTTACACTGCAGCGCCGGCCGGGGACACAGAGCTGAGAGCTCATCAGAATACACATGACTGCAGAGTGGCCAAGACAGTCACCTAGAAAAACAGCCGATTGACAACTACCTGTATAGGTACTGTACTGGAATTGCAAAACCCAGATCGAGCCAGTGGACATAACGTTACGAACAACCGCAGCCAGTGGACATACAAACAACCACAGCCATGACAAGTTGATAGCAACGATATGCCAGACTCTGGATGCGCTGGCACGGAAGTAGCCTTCGGATACGTAGACACCCACACACATACATGCGCACACAGACACGCGCGCGCGCACGCACACACACAACACACCATGTACCATGTATACGCCCGTCGCAAGAGAAGCACGCAAATCTGCAAATGCACTGGTTGTGCACCCACAGATTTTCTCTTTATAGCAACGATAGCGGATCTGATTCTGATTGAAACAGATCAAGACAAGCGCCAGATAACTGTCTAATCCACACAACTGGCGAAGCCATGTGAATCGACCCCCCAATGCACACCTGGTCTACACCACACGGAGTACATCGGAATAGGACGGCCAAGACACAACACACACACACACACACACACATGCGCCCCCCCCATACACATACATGTGTACACAGACACACAGACACGCGTGCACGCACACACACACACAACACACACATGCCCCCCCCCCATACACACACACACACACACACATCATCCATTCCAACATTCTCGAATCCAGGGATAAACAATACGATATAGACACTACGTGAACTATGCTGACCAGCAGCAAACGCACACAAATTCTAAAAAAAGGTAAAAAGCGAGAGTGCAGTAGCAACAACAACAACAACGACAACGACGATGACCATCCCAAGAAGTAAACGCGTCGAAATTCAGCAGGCAAGCAGGCCAATGGGCCACTCGGCACACACACACACATACACGCACACACGCGCACACACACGCGCGCGCGCACGCACACTGTAAAAGCAACTGTAGCTCAACGGCAGAAAATAAAATACATCGGCGTTCGCAAAGCGACGACAGCAAAACACAGAGGTAGAAAAGCCAAGACCGGCGATATCTTGCAGGGCGCGAAGACGGGCAGCTCAGGGGCAGCTAGCTACTGTGAGCGTGTGATAGTGTGGCCAGGAAGGTGTCGATACTATTCGCATCGAAATTAGGGGCATGATGGCCGTGATATATTGCATACGTGAAAGATTATTCGACGGCGACGCAAGCAGACTTTTAGGTTATGCTGGTATTAAGAGTAGTATTTTGTTCATGCAAAGTTACTAGTATGGCTTCTTCAAAATCATGCTCTGTGCGTTGCACCTAGGAGTGAACGAATGGGTTCGGATAAAAACGGACTATGTATTAAAGGAGGAATATATCGGCGCGGGTGGCGCAGGGCCAGACGAGCGCCGACTGTGGTTAAAAAAAACAACAACAGGAGAAGCGCTCAGCACTTCGACTGCATGGTTGCATAGAGGGTATTGACTGGCTGGCCGGAGCGATGTGAAGTAGCGGCATGAGTGCGTGCCGTGGGAAACTTGGCACATTTGCTGTGATAAGCGCACGGACTGGTAGGAAAGCATCAGGAAAGACATGCCAGTTTAAAAGATACATGTCTGTTGGTTAGTGGGACAGGTAGGAGATGAAAAAACGCTAAGAGGGCGATCGAGACGGAAGAGCAGATACCGAAATGTATACGGAACCTGTGGCTGAATTGGGAGTTGTCATACCGCCTGATTTATTTCTGACGATGACAAACGATGCACTATTCTGGTAATGGGATGCTGGATTCTTCCCTGTGCTGGCTAGTGATTTCTGAACAGCAGAGGAAACGGCAGCCAAATGTCCACACACCACACATGCATGCACACACGTATACACACACACATGCATGCACGCACACATATGCAGGCATGCACGCACACGCACACATGCATGCACACATATGCATGCACGTACACACTCACACACACACACACGTACACACTCACACACACACACACATGTACACACACACACACACGCGCGCGCGTGCGCACAGAGGGTGAGAATGGAGACAGATTCCAACAATAAAAAATAGGCGCTTCCACAAAGACTTTCAAGAGCAGGTCAAGCAAGTCCCAGCATTCAACACAGGCGAACAACCTTTGGAGAACGCTTAGCCCTTCCAGGACCGACTTGATCCAGGCAAACTGCTACATGCACTACGTATGCAAAGTGTTTGGATCATAACTTTTCATACTGTTTAACAGGAAATTTTCGGATGAATTTATTTTCGTACGATTTCGTACACAGCCTCTTTTGTGCTAAAATTAATACGGTACTAAAATTTGCTCATGTGAAATTATGAATAGCAATAACACGTATGAAATGTGCCCCGGCATGCGCGTATTGCATGCGAACACGTGCATTTAGCATGCGGCACTGTACGAAAATAATCCGTACGAAAGGTTGAAATTCGGCTTTGTCCGAAAATATTCCCGTCCGGAAAATGTCCTGCTGTTCAGTAACTCAGATAGCATACCGGACTGCCAGCAGTCCTGGCGGAATCTTTAACTGTATGCGCGAGTAAAAGCCTAGTTCACATTCGACGGGGCGCGAAGCGACAGGACAGTCTGACGGCGTCCAATGCGAACACCAGGAACGGGAACGCAACCGTACTGTCGTACGGATCGGGAAGCGACGGGAAGAGTTGGATCGATCCAACTTTTCATACCGTAGACGGGTGTAGACGAGGACGCAAGCGTACGAAACAGCTGCATTTTGAGTGTGAACAGCAGACGGCGTCGTGCGCCGACTACTCCCAATTCGTACTTGGAAATTTTTAGCATTTCCAACACTGCACTTCCCATGATAACTCGCAGAATTGCTAACACAACTTGGGTTGAATTTTAGCAAGATAAGGTCTGATGTCACTTACGGCATTTAGGGATAGTTCATTAGCGTGACCGACGAACTGTTTTATCATTTCCTGGAGCTATTATTTGAATGGCACACCTTTCGAAGCTACTTTTTGGTGTTCAAGAAAACTGGTATTGTGAACATGATTCCGCTTCATTTAAAGAGGAATAATTGAAAAGAAGTCCCAGAAAACAAGAAATTAGGTCCAAAAGTCACACAGTCACGGACCGTGCCTTATGACTGACGCCGTTCGCTGTTGAACGACGCAACGACTGCAGCACGTCGTGTCGTACGAATCGTACAACATTTTACAGCTCACCCCAGCCTTCCCGACAAGCCCTTACGTCCCGTACCGTCAGCGTTCCGTCGAATGTGAACTAGGCTTTAATGACAGCATTGTCCGATATTCACACACTCATCCACAGAGTGTGGTTTTCCTTCTGTCACATAACCATAAATTATGGGACAGCCATGTTGGTTCCAATTCCACTCAACCCCTGTATCTATGGGTCACATGATGTCGGCCATGTTGATTCCAACTCGGGTCAATCTATGGGTCACATGATGTCGGCCATGTTGGTTCCAACTCGGGTCAATCTATGGATAACATGATGTCGGCCATGTTAGTTCCACGGTCCACATGCCATGATCACTCTCTGCACAAATTGTTGTCACATGACAAGCTGATGTGAGCTGCACCACTCTAGTCTGTACATAACACTCATCAGTACACATACATACCTATCACGTGTCTGAAGCTGTATTAGCTACTTGACGACGGTGGCGTGTACCCTCACCGCTTCCCCTGCGGTCAGCGCCAACAGAGGCTTCATCACCACCATCACCTTGCTGCTGCTGTTTATGCTGCTGCTGCTGCTGGTCGTGGGGATCAAGAGATGGATGGATAACACCGTCCGCGGGTGCTTGGATATGCGCAGTAGGGGCAGCAGCAGTAGCAGCAGCAGCTGGTTGCGGCTGCACCGGGGTGTACGGACCACCAGGAGCCGCCACAGGTTGTTGTACTAATTGCTGTTGCTGCTGCGGCTGATGATGATGGTGATGATGAATATGCTGTTGCTGTTGTTGTTGCTGCTGTTGGTGTTGATGATTATGCTGTTGCTGCTGCTGCCCCACGACAAGCACTCTGCCCGCATCGTCCACGTCGTCGACTGTGGGTACAGCCACGCGCCGGGTCTCAACCACCAGAGAACCTGAGTACTGGTCATACACAGTTTGCCCGTTGGCCACAAACAGAATGCCAATCATGACAGGGTACGCGACAAACAGCACCGTCACCTTGATCAGGGAGCGAAAGAACGACCTGAGAAACATAGCACAGAGAGAAAGAGAAAGAGAAAGAGAGAGACAGAGACAGAGACAGAGACAGAGACAGAGAGAGAGAGAGAGAGAGAGAGAGAGAGAGAGAGAGAGAGAGAGAGAGAGAGAGAGAGAGAGAGAGAGAGAGAGAGAGAGAGAGAGAGAGAGAGAGAGAGACAGAGAGAGACACACACACAGAGAAAAATTCTTAGTCTACATAAAAAATCGTTTCCACTGGTCTTTGTTTGATGGAAATCGAACAAACAACAACAACTTAGCTCATGTTGACTGCTTTGTTATGGAAATTTGGATTTGATTTTTCGCATCTTGGATTGCGTCAAGATGAGTTCCGAGCGCCAATTCTTCACTGTCGACAAGGCGCTTGACCAAGCTCTGAACGGAATGGTTGAAGAGTTTGTCGCCGAGCCTGTCGAGATCGATAGTTCTGACGACGATGTCGATAATGTCGCTTCAGAGAGCGCGAGTGTCACCTCGCTCACTAAATTTTTTTTGTTTCGTGAAAATTATCGACAATGCCGGACGGCCCCTAACCTTATGAAGCCTAGGTTTCCACCCGGCACGACAAAGAACTCTCTTCGTTCACGGTTGATCATGCGTGAATCCTTGCAGTAGATGACAGACAGACCCACTAGCCTCTTGCCAATCGTGGCACCGCCGAAACCTTGCAGTCCATACGCTAGGAACAGAGTCTGAACGAACAGGTGAGACACATACACACATGCATACACACACGCAGATACATATACCGTAAATTCATGTATAAAAGCCGCACTTGAATAGAAGCCGCAATTTTGGGCCCATCAAATCACACATAAGCCTGGTTTTAGTGTTAACATACATAGAAATACCTGTCTTGTATAGAAGCCTGTCTCATATAGAAGCCTGCAAAATTTCACCAAGAAAGTCGTAGAAGCCGCGGCTTTTATACAAGACTTTACAGTACATACATAGACAGTTGTGTAAAGTCCTCAGGCTGCGTGTAGTGCTCTATGTCCTGTAGGCTGCGTGTAGTGCTCTATGTCCCGTAGGCTGCGTGTAGTGCTCTATGTCCCGTGGACAGAGCCGGTAATACAACGATCACACAGCAATGCCGCAACCAAGTTCTTTTTTCTGCCGTTACTCAGAGTTTCGTGTCGTTGCTGTCTGATGAGTGTTCCACACGCAACTCTGAGTAACGGCAGAAAAAAGAACTTGGTTGCGACATTGCTGTGTGATCACACACATACATACATACATACATACATACATACATAGACAAACAGAGAAATATACACAGACACACACACGGAGACACACAGACGTAGACACACACACACACACACACACAACACCCAACACGCACAATTGTACTCCTTTTTCGTACACAGCCTGATATACACACGGCCGTGATGCGGTGCAGTCTGAAAGTTCTAGAGCATTCGCACAGTAGAAGAACTCTATTAAATTTGTTGGTGTACAAAGGAACCATAAATTTGACTGCACAGTGCACACAACTCACAGTATACATACTGTGTCCATGCTGCTCAACACCAAGCCCATTGTGCATTGCAAAATATGGAATTCATGAATCACGCATGTGAGTACGCAGGCATCAGCAATGCACTGTTCAGCACCCCCACACGACCATGCCCAGGTGGCTGTGTGGCGTGTTTACGGCACAAATTACAGCATTGCTCAATGGGTTTATTCAACTTTATTGTGTTCAGCAGTCGACATCTTCGGCACCGTATTGCTCTTATCAGGAGTCGCACAAACTCCACTGTAGCCGTTTACATGACAGTGAAACCTGTATAAGCCGACTGCTCAAGGGACCTTACAAGCGTGGTCCCTGTGCACAGGTGGTCTCCTTATCCAGGGTCGTTTGACTGGAAATAACATCCCTTGGTCCTAGTGGTAGCGGTCCTGTTGGACAGGTGGCCGTCTTATCAGAGTGGTCGCATTCACAGGTTTTACATTATTCATTTAACCAGTGACTGAGTCCAAACACTCACACATGCTCTCTTTGCTGCTAACATCTCGCTAGATTTGCCAAAACTGGGATCGCGATCTCTTTGAAAAACAACACTCACAACTGACAAGGCCCAAGCCAGATTGGAGTGCATGGACCACGCAGGTCAGGCAGATAAGGCCAGGTCCACCGTATCACCGTACAGGTAGTGATTGTCTCCGCCTCGTTGCGTTGAGCAGGCATATATGTACTCGCATATACAGTCAACTCCACTTATAACGAACTCGCATATACCTGTACAGTCAACTGTGCGTATAACGACACTCGACGGGGCATCAGAAAAGTGTCCTTATTCGCAAGTGTCCTTATACCCGAAGTCTCATTATATGTATTACAGTTGGATGGGACTTTGCTCTGGGCATGGAAATTCTGTCGTTATTCGCGAATTGTCGTTATATCCACATTTGTTATTAGCGAAGTTGACTGTAGCGAATTCCGTGATATAGCGGACCCTTGTCCATGTCCCTATTTGAACCCACACAAAATTGACCCTTTGTAGCGAACGGCTTTCGTTCATAACGAACCAAATCTTGTAGGTCTGCATGTAAACCAAGTGCACTCATACAGTCATGGGCCACTTGCCAGTCATGACTTGCTGCTTGTATGGTGTGAGTGCATTTCTGTCACAGGTAGACTCCCTTTAATTCGAACCTCAAATTGCCAGGCCCAAACTTCTAATTATCCAAATGCAACCCCATGCACTGATATGTATGTCAAAATGCTTGAAATCGCATGCTGAATATTTTTTGCACATTTTTATTTGCATCAACGAAACATAGGTGGTCGTACCGGTCATGTACAACGTTAACGGATCATCAAAACACTGGATCGACACAAAATCATTTGACATCATCTTCATCTTCTACAATGTAGTGAAGAAGTTGTCAGTCACTGCAGCTTTCCTGAAACATATTTCAACGGAAAAGAACTGCGCTGCCTAATCCGCGTCATGAAAGGCCGTCGGACACCAGAACGTCGTTCTGAAGAACGGAAGTGGAGCATAGGCATAGACAATATTTACAACAATAGGGTTGTTGTGCGCCAACATCTCCGCGCACGAGCTGGCGCGGCAAGAAAGGCCATCGAGATCCGCGAAAAGAGTCAGCCACCAGGAAGAAGTCGTCTTCGATCAAACCTTTGCAATCTGCCTCGCACGGGCTTGAATCAAATTTCGAGAGAAGGTGGGTTTCTTGAACGCTATAGTCGATCCTGCAGCGGACCATCGATCGATTTTTGAGCTACTCTTGGCTAGAGAAGGAGAAAAGAATGAACTTCGAATTACAAGGGTAGCAACTCAATCTCACTTCGAAATAAGCGTTCAAAGGACATAGCCAATGTACTGTAAACAGCTCTTCTGTACGAAGACTGGGTTCGAATTATCCAACCGGCGCACTTTTCGTACTTCGAATTATGCATTCGATTTTGACTTGAAGTGATTTGCAGAAGATCGGCACGACGAAAAAGTTCGAATTACGCGGAATGTTCGAATTATACCGTATTCGAATTAGAGGGAGTCTACCTGTATAACAAACTTCGGTTATAAAGAACTAATTCTCCTGCACTATGGTGTTCGTTATATCAGGAGTCGACTGTAGTGAGTGTTAGGGGTGGCTTGACTGTACCCACATACAGACAGTGAGTGTTAGGGGTGGCTTGACTGTACCCACATACAGACAGTGAGTGTTAGGGGTGGCTTGACTGTACCCACATACAGACAGTAGGGACCTTTCGCACCCCGCGTACGGATACGAAACGAATGCTGATTCGTCACCTGGGTTCGAGGATTCGTCAGAGTCCCTGCGGAGAACTTGTTTTCACGAATGGAAGCCTCTTCATTCGTGGCACGCTCCGAATCCGTCAGGTACACATTTATTTGGATAGGTACACATGTTTTGCAAGGTACACATTTTTCCCTTGATTCCATGATCCATTCACGTGTGCGTGTAAAAACCCGTACGCCAAGCTCCCGGCGCCCGCGGCCGTATTCGTAGTTGCCATGCACATTTGCATGACGACTCGCGAAACCTGAAATCTGTTTTCAACGAAACGATTACGAGCCGAATCAAACTTTCGTTTCGCATTCGTTTCGTAGCAAATGCGAAAGGTCCCTAGTGAGTGTTAGGGGTGGCTTGACTGTACGCACATACACACAGTGAATGTTCTAGTTCAACTGTATGCACAATCATACAGGTATATGGTGGCTCAGCCTAGTTCGACTGTATCAACATACAGGCAGTGAGTGTGCAAGGCCAGTTCACAAGGCGTGAGTGTAACGTTACCTCATACACCATCACCATGAGCCGGTAGAAAGCAGTGTATTTGATGACTTGGTCAAAGTTCCTCACTATCACCACATTGGCAGCGGAGTCGCTTGTGCGCAGGCTCTCATCCAGCTGTTCCAGCACCAACTCCGGCCCGTCCATACTGTACGCACATGTACACACACACGCACGCATGCGCGCGCAGACACACACACACACATTATACACACACGTATGCATGTGGAATCCTGATAATTCGAACATGGCTTATTTCGAAAATACCGCTGAATTAGAAGTTTCTTCCAGGACTGAATCCGCTTAGAAAGGAAATGTGTGGACTTCCTGCTGATAATCCAACGCTAGCAAGGTGTAATTCAAAGTTCACTCTATATTGTACCGGCCAGCTCAGCATGCACGAGGCGTCCGTGAAAACCTGTGAGTGTTCACGGTGCACAGAGCAACTCTGCGTGGCCATGTGAACATTTCCACATACAAATCGTGTTGTGAGGACTTGTTCGCATAATAAGAAAGTCCGTGTTTCGAGTATGGAGCAGAGTCAATTTCAAATCAATAATGAGTTGTAACTTTACCACTCACCCAAGTAGACTGTACACGACGTCCTTGAGCAGGTAGATGAGTAAGAAGTCTAGCAGCTCAGCAAACAAACGTGACTTGGGCGATGCTGCCGTCACGTAAACACCGGCTGCACATACACATACACACACACACGCACGTGACACACACACACAGAGGTACACACAAACACAGACACACACACACAGACACACACACACACACAGACAGACACACACGCACACACACACACACACACACACACACACACACACACACCTCAGACCTGCCCATCGCGGAAGCGATGATAGCGAACAGCTATGTTAGACATAGCAACTTGTGCTGGGATTACACCATTCAACAGCTTGCAAGGCTGATGAATTGACCGCCACTAATTTTAGCCTGGTATCCACCACACAGCTGATTGAAGTGGCTTACACACACACACACACACACACACACACACACACACACACACACACACACACACACACACACACACACACACACACACACACACACGCATGCACACACACACACACACACACGCACGCACGCACACACACACACACACACACCATGTACACTATACGCACGTCGCAAGAGAAGCGGGCAAATCTGCAAATGCACTGGATGTGCACCCACAGATTTTCTCTTATAGCAACGGTTGCGGACAAGATCTGAATGAGACAGATCAAGACTAGCGGCACCAGATAACTGACACACACACGCACACACACACACACACACACACACACACACACACACACACACACACTCACTACTACTACTACTACTGTAGCTTGGTTGCCACAAGGGCCACACCACTCCGAAAGGAGCCAGAGTCATTGTCAGGAGCAGAAACGGAGATGACGACACACACACACACACCCACGCGCACAGTAACTGGCATGCAGGTTTACGCACACGGACCTTGCATCACGGTACTCCAGCCATTTGACCTAGGATGCACAGCAACTTGGCTACAAGATACGGATTTTAGGCCTGCACCTCTGGCGTGCCACTACATTCGTGTAGAAAGTGATTGTGGCATGTGGACAATGGAAGCAACATGGCCAACATCACATGACCCATAGATGCAATGGGTTGAGTGGAGTCGGAAGTCTCGGAACCAACATGGCCAACATCATGTGACCTATAGATGCAATGGGTTGAGTGGAATCGGAACCAACATGGCTGTCCTGTATGGTCATGTGATAGCTGTGTGAAACCATTCTCTACTGATCTCTCACCGCACTATCATGTTGATAAGCATAATGATGATAGCTGTCAGGCGTGGATAAGAACAATTCCCAATACAGGTGAGCACATCCAGTCCCTTCAAGTCTCTCTCAAAGTGATTAGGCTGTTTTCGAATTGCCTGTTATCCCCAATGCAGCCATTTGCACATTTAGAACTTTGCCGTCTCCATAAAGCTTTAAAGGTACCCTCACTGCAAAATTTGTGACTGCATTCCATTTTTGGAATTCTATTTTTGGACTGTAAAGTTACTTATTCGCAGTAAAGAGACGATTTGGGAGGTTGAGAAGTTCTACAGCTGGGTGAATGAGACTTTAGTTTATAGACTGCAGTGCTTTTTTCTTCTCAAAATCGTCAAACAATCAATTCTGACATGAAAGGTACACACCTTGCGACTGGACACGAACTTCTATCCGCGGGGCTTCCGCAGCGCCAGCACCATCGGCCACGGGAGCTGCTCGATTCGCCGCAGATATGTGCTGTGCGATGTGATTGGCCAACTCCTGCTCGGCGCTGAGTGAGCTACTGTTTGTACTAGCGCCAGCAGCAGCAGTTGCTGCTGCTGGTGCCACATACTGTCTACTCGTTGGCCAAGGGTAGTTGGCATACACAGCATAGTAATAGCAGTACATCGTGTAGAAGTAGAAGCATCGCTGCGAGGACAACTGCCTTTCCTGCTCAGCGTGCCATTGGGCGAACGTCAAAGGTTCTTTACGATCTTCAGCTGAAGGGCTAGGGACAGAAGCTTCTTCCATTTCAAAATTTCTCCAAAAATATGATTGTGATTGCCCAGAATGAAACACCGGGATGAAAACTAAGCGTTGGCTGCAAGCATCAAGCACAAGTGCACAAACAACCTTCCCGACGCCAACAGCAAGAAAATTAGACTAGCATAAAAGGACGGGCAAGCAGGAGAGTAGTGGAGTGAGAAAAGACGTGTCAGGACAAAATTCTTTGAAAGGAAATTCTAACAAGTCATCATCATGCATGAAACACAAGCTACATTTTTTGAATGCAAATCAAATCCAAAAACAAAAACAACCTTTCTTTGTGTTTGGGTGGCGTGACGTCTCACGTCAACGACTTACGTAACCAGCTGGTAACGTCCTAGCGACTTACGTATGCGCATATGCATGCTCTGCTACAGTCCGTTTCAAAAAGATTTACAATCCTGGCGATCGCCCTCGGAGTTTGGCGTCTTACCGTATGAGCACTCGAGCGCTGCCTGGAAAAACTCACTGTGAACTCGAAGAAATATTCCGCGCGAAAGCAGGAAAAATGACAACTCACTCACGTTGATACTGTCATGTACGTCTGGTTTACAACAAACGGGTTCTTCCTCGTATTATATCGATAATGGAGTCAGACTCAGAGAGGACATGTCGAAACGAGGAAAGTATTATGTTGACGAGCTGCATGGGTCCCAATTCGTATAATTATAATAGTTGCAGTGCTTGCTGCTGGCCGGCCCGGCCCGCCGTGCATGGCCGGCAAAGGAGTAGTAAAACACCGGTATTTTACTACACAATTGGCTTGTGGTGTTGAGTGTTGTCTTGTACTTTTTGTAGTTGTAGCGCACCTGCAAGCGGGTAAAGATTCGTAGACTGGCGCTGCATGCAGCGCGGGCGAGGCGCAGCTTGCGCAACAGCGTTCGCTTCGAGCGAAGCATGCACAGCACGCACTTGTTTTGGGCCGAGGCGCTGTCTCAAGGGTACGGGTGTTCATTGAACCACGTTTGAATCAAACGGCGAAGGAGTGTCGACAGAGAATGCTCAAAGAAGTCCTCCAAAACTGGCAAAAGCCTGAGTGTGAGTCGTGCTTGCATGGACGAAGGGACGTCCTCCTCTTCTTCTCCCGTCACCTCCATACCGGAGGAAGACGCTCGAAAAGATGTGATCGAGGCCTTGGCCACAACTGACATCGAATACGATGTGGATGGACAACCGCTGGTGTATGCAAAATCACCTTACGATGCGAACGAAGACGGCGAAAGGATCATGAAAATCGCCTGAGTTTGAAGCTCGGCGATGCCGTGCGTGTCTTGAACACCTCCATGGGCAAGGGATGGTGGTGGGTAGAAGTGGATGGCGAGTCTGGCTACGTTCCATCATCATTCCTCGGCACTGAGGATGACTTGCGCGGCGCGGAGGAAGCCTCCTGGCAGAACGACGAATATTTTGACCAGTACGCCACGCTGAAGATCCACCAAGAAATGCTGGGAGACAAGCCACGCACACTGGCGTATCAGAACGCCATCAAGCAGTGCAGAGCGGACATCGAGGGCAAAGTTGTGCTGGATGTTGGCTGCGGCACGGGAATTCTCAGTATGATGTGTGCACGAGATGGCGGTGCTGCAAAGGTTTACGCAGTCGATGCGAGTCCCCTCACAACCCAGGTACAGAAATTAGTGGAAGCCAATGGCCTGGCGGATCGTATCACAGTCATCAGAGGAAAGGTAAGAAGGATGCGGCTTGATAAAAAAAATACTGGTACAGTCAGCCCTCGCCTATCCGGTCCTCTGTTATCCGGATCCCTCGCCGTCCGGAGAATCGTTGGTTACCGATTTACAGCATATGTCATGCATACATACAGTTTGTGTGTTCGATTATCCGGTCTCCTCGCCTATCCGGATATTTTTTTTGTTGAAAACGGATGTGTGCGGTTAAGCGATGTCTGACTGTACTTGCAAGTGTACATGATATTCTTCGGAATTCTTTTCTCAATTCTGTGGTGCCATCTTCAATAGGCCCATCAAATAGTAGTAATAGATTTTTCATTTGACCCGACGAGACCACACGACGCTTGCAGACGACAGCACGAACAGTTCGCCAGCCACACTTCACGACTTGCTCGCTTGCTTGCTTGCTTGCTTGCTGGCTTTCGTGAAGTGTGGCTGGTAAACTGTTCGTGCTGTCTGCAAGTGTCGTGTGGTCTCGTCGGGTCAAATGAAAAACCTATTAGTCTATTACTATTCTTTTCTCTCTCGTTCCTATTCAACTCAGATGGAGAGCCAAGGATTGAAAAAATTTAAAAAGAGAAGACCATAAGTTTTCAAGTCATCCGTTTTGTCCAACACTCACAGGGATGAATTTATCCTGTATCGCATCGCAGTTTGCGATGCAAAATCGATCTACTGCTACTCAAAAGTCACCGTGACTCGTAGAAAATTGCGATACATGCAGGCTAACCATGGCTAGCCTGCGCTGTCAAGTAACATGCATACTGTGCAGTGTATGTGATGCAGGTACTCTCAATCTGGGTACACATGTATGCTTCAGTCGGGGTTTTTCGCAAATGGGCTTTCAGGCATCACTCTCAAGAATGATAATGTGGCAAACACCGAACCTTCAAAGAAAAATGCTAATCAAAATCAAAGACTGCTACACAATTGTGATTTCGTATAGCAGAAACTGCTATGCAAAAATATGACAGTAAATTCATCCCTGACTCACTACGGACCTTTCGCTAACGATTTTCGTTAATTTTCCTTTGGTCTGGATTACGTACCGAAGTTTCGTAAATTTTTCGTTTCGCTCGCATGTCCACATTTCGTTGCGTTGTTGTCGTAGCAACATATTTCTCACCGGCGGTGCGCAGTTCATGACCTGAACTTTGCACCCTTCTATTCCCCACGCTGGTTTTTTGATTTCCTCCTATCTCCACTCCATGATCACTCAAGCTACGACCGGTCTGTAATTGTATGCTATAGCCAGGATCTGACTCAATCATCAAAAATTCAAAATGCTTTTATCTCTGTTCCTTCTTGAGCACGAGAATGGAATGTTGGATGAAGAGGAGCTCCTACTTCTCATCCATTGCATAACTGAAGATACCTGTGCGAATCTCCCTCAGCATGTGGGTAATCGATTAAACTTTGAAAAAATTGATGAGGAGACATGTTCTCGCAGATATCGCTTCACGAAAGCACAGGTTATGGAGTTGCTTGAACGGCTCAGCCTCCCAGCGAGGTTTCGTGCTCCGTCACGACACTGTTGGACAGGATTGGAAGGGCTGCTGGTGGTTTTGAGGCGTCTTTCGTATCCTAACACTCTTGGTGATATGTGCGAAGAATTTGGGAGGTCCAAACCATCACTGAGCATCGTGTTCAATATCACCCTGCAATGGATTTTCAGGAATTGGGATGGTTTGTTGACTGATCCGTTTACCCACCAGTTCCTGACACCTGCCAGATTTGCCAAGTATTGCCAGGCAGTCCGACGAAAGACAAGTGTGCCACTGGATGTATGGGGCTTCATTGATGGCACAGTTAGGAGTGTTTGCAAGCCGTCTATTCACCAGCGCATGTTCTACAATGGACATAAACGGGTTCATGCCCTCAAATACCAGTCCTGTGTCACACCAGATGGCTTGATTTGCCATTTATTTGGTCCCGTTGAAGGCAGACGGCATGATTCAGGTGTTCTCTTGGAAAGTGGTTTGCTGCCTAGGCTGCAACAGTTTGCCAGGAAACCAAATGGTCAGCCATGTGCACTGTATGGAGATCCCGCATACCCACTGTCGCCGTTTCTTATGAAGGGCTATCAAGGAGCTGCGTTAACAGCTGAGCAACAGGAATTCAATACAGCTATGAATTCTGCACGTATGGTGGTGGAATGGAGCTTTGGTGATGTCGTTGCACAGTGGGAGTTCAATGATTTCAAGAAGCAGCAGAAGATCATGCTTCAGCCCGTTGCTGCCTACTACAAGGTGTCTGCACTCCTCACAAATTGCCGTACCATCTGCCGAGAAGGCAACAAGACATCAAAGTATTTCAACTTATCTCCACCTACCTTAGCAGAGTATCTACAATGATGTCAGCACTACATCATTCTGTTGCTGTGCCATCTCTCCATTTTACAACAAACACTTAGACCATGAAAGAACTGTAAACATCTTGGCTGTGGATATTCCCTCTACTTAGCAGTTTTAAAAACAGACTACGTTTAGTCATTCATTCAATTATGGAATGGTGAAGACTCTGTTATATCTGTTCAATGAAATTCCATGGTGAAATTGGTCAAAAGGCATTGATAACACTGGTTAGAATGACGTTAACATTGGAATGGTTACAGGTATACAACTGTGAAGTGCTGGGTGAAAGCGGGACTAGTGGATAAGCTACAAAGCAAGGGCTGTTCCTTCGTGAAGAAGTGAAAAAGCTATTGCATTTTTTTGACAGTGGCTGCCATTAGCTGCAGAAACATACTGCGTTCCTCGCGGTCCTGTTCTGCCTTTTGCTTGCGATCTTGACGGTCATCTTCTGCTTTCTTGCTCTCTTCTTGTTCCTTTTTCTTTTTTGACGCAAGCTCGTCCCGTTGAGCCTCTTCCTTCAGGGCCATCTCCCTCTCCTGGGTAACATGAACAGAATCACCAACAGAAATCAGAAAATTCAATAAACAAAAAAACAATTGAACACATGAACAATTTGAAGCATTTTCTCTTGAAATTTATTCTATACAGCATGAAAGTAAAAATGGGTCATACCTGCAGCGCGAGTCTTCGCTCCTCCAGTGCGACTGCATTTGCACCATGAGAAGCAGCAAACTTCTCCTCCTCCAAATACACTTTTCTCTCCTCAATCTTGAGAAGAGCATCATTTTTCTTCTCGAGGTACGTAATAATAGGATCCGCTTGATCGTACGTGCTGCTCCGCTTGGTTTTCTGGGGCCGGTCTTCCGCTGAAGATTTCTCCGAAAGGGTCCTACAAGCATCGGCTCGCATCTGCTCGGCCACAGCCTTTTCCGCATGCTTGGCTGTCACCACTGCCACTGCGGCTTGCTCCTTCTCGGCCTTCAGCTCCTGTAGCTCGGTTAGAAGCACGTCTGCTTCGGAGAAGTCCTCTACAATACCAGAGGCCGATTTGCTTTTGCTATCTTTGGATTTCTGCTTCGACATCAGCAGGTGCAGCCTATCTGAAGCGCCTTTCTTTTTTAAATTGCCGAATCGCCGGTCTTGTGAGGATAGTTCATCCACGACATCATCCATTACCGACGAACCACGGACAAAAGGATTTCCTGATCCACGAATCTGTCTGAGCAGGACCAAGTCCATGCCTGAGTCCCAAACTATCCGTTGCCTATCCGGTG